GGGGGCGGGTGGGGGACCCATAATCTTTTCAGTGCTTAGGGCCTCTAAAGGTCTAACTTTTGCCCTGGCTGGTGGAACTCTAGCAAAAGCCAGCAGGGAGCTATTTAAAGAGCTGGCATGGACACAGGATGCAATAGGTTAAATTACTTTCACTATTGGGTGTGGCACAGACTGTGTATGTGGGTGTGTGACACAGAGTGTGTGTGCTGGCTGTTGCTCAGTAAGTTTTTGAGAGATGCCACACGCTATCTCTTAACTTTTGCCCTGGCTGGTGGAACTCTAGCAAAAGCCAGCAGGGAGCTATTTAAAGAGCTGGCATGGACACAGGATGCAATAGGTTAAATTACTTTCACTATTGGGTGTGGCACAGACTGTGTATGTGGGTGTGTGACACAGAGTGTGTGTGCTGGCTGTTGCTCAGTAAGTTTTTGAGAGATGCCACACGCTATCTCTTTACGGCATTGAAACCTCTTCTACTCTGTGATTTCTGTCCCCCTGCTCTGCAGAGATGGAGTATATGTGGAGGAAGAGAAATTGGAGAGAGGCTCTCAGCAGTCACTCCTTTCCATACTTCAGACAAGAGCAGTTCCACTGTGTATCCCCCTCCTGTCCCTACTCTGCAGGTATGGGATACAAGAGTATGGGGAACATCCTGACTTCAGAACTGCCCTCTTTTCCCTTCCTCTCCCCTTGATCTACACAGCTAGTAGGAGGGTCCTCAAAGCAGCTTGGCAGTAGGACATAGCAGTGTGGAGAAAGGGGCAGCTGAACACATAGTGCTAGCTGTAAAATAGGCACACACTGCTCATCAGCTGGACTGGTCAGATAGAAATGCTGGGTGGGCCAGATTTTGCCTGATGGCCATTCTTTGACCACCCCTGCTTCATTATCATCTATTCCTTCAGTCACATTTCTGTCTCAGATAAAGTCAATTGTGTATGAAGTGGTTATTAAAAAACCAAGATCTTCCAAGACAGATGATCTTTGTAGATATAATTTATGCAGCTACTGCTATTATAGAGATAATTAGAGCTAACCTTCTTCAATAACTTCTTAAGCATTCCCTGTATAAGCCCACAAGCTACATTTGTCTGAAGTGCAATGTAAACTGCATGAGAAAGGAACTTTATCTTCAAGTGGCTTATGAAGGGTACACTTAACTGCTCTTTAAACAACAGTGGTGGGGAAAGGGTGAAGCTGAAACTAAGCTAGAAAGACATTTAAAAGAAAAATATCATGAAAGAGAAACACTATACAGATGGAGTGGATAGACTCATATGGCCTCTTTCCATCTCAAAATATTATTATGCTACTGATTTATATAGGAACTACTTGAATTACTTTCCAATCTGCTGAGAAGAGCAGAAAATTTCTGTTCTGTTTAGAGACCGTGTGTTATGTCTGAAGTAGTACAGTACATACATAACCACCCTCTATAGTCTAATCATTCACCTTTATTACTGGCTCTGAGATTGAATAGTACAAGTTTTAGGTCTGAATTTCAATCCTGAGCATACATTTTGAAACGTGGCCCAAGTAAGGTAGGCATCTCCACCTGGTCTTTAATGTTATGTTTCAGTCTTTGATATAAGTTGTGGGTACGACTAGCTCTTTAAGCCAATGTAAGAACCCAATCTAAAGTAATAATTTTTAATCAATTTAAATGTGTTTAGGGACTAGACTGTGAGTATTCTTTGTGAAGTCACAAGGTGCCTCTTTTCCCATCTTACATATTCCACACAGCCACTTGCAGTTATAGGCCCTGCTCTCAGGGAAATGCAAGGACAGTTCCTTTAGGCTATGTCTACACTATGTGTTTTGTCAGAAGAGGCAATGCAAATGGTTTCTCGTGCTTCATTTCAAAAATCTATTCCTATCCATTTTTGAGCAAGAGGTTTTTGCGCAAAAACATGCAGTGTGGACATATCCATTTTGCGTAACAAACCCCTTTTGCGCAAGATCGCGGCATAAGGATCCTTGTCCACACTGCATGTTTTTGCACAAAAACGTCTTGCACAAAAACGATCGGACTAGATTAAGCAAATGAAGCACGAAAAATGCTAATCCACGATTCATTTTCATTGCCTCTTCCAACAAAACACCTAGTGCAGGCATAGCCTCAGTGTCCCTCCATGAGGGAGGAGTCACATTGCCCCATACCAACTGGGGCTGTAACTCTGCCTCACAGAACAAGCCAGGCAGACTATCCTAAAGGGTGATGCAGCTTTCTCAGTTTTTCTGTGCACCAAGCCTGTCAGGTTGGGAACATGCCATTTTTGGGAACAATCTCTCCTGGTACTTCTTGTAGAGCAGTGCACCACACCACCACCCAATGGGAGCAAATGACTACCTTCTACAGTTTGACCCTCAAAAGCCACAGCTAATTACAGTGGGAAAGGTTCCATTTATCACCTTTCTTTGTCAGATCCTGCTCTAGTTGAGGCAGATAGCTAGACTGAGGGTACGTCTAGACTACATGCTTCTGGCAACAGAGGCATGTAGATTAGGCTACCGGACATAGTAAAATGAAGCGGCGATTTAAATAATCGCCGCTTCATTTAAATTTACATGGCTGCCTCGCTGAGCCGACAAACAGCTGATCAGCTGTTTGTCGGCTCAGCGCGATAGTCTGGACGCTCCCCTGCCGACATCAAAGGTATTTGTTGACCACCCAGGTATGCCTCATGCCTGATCAGCTGTTTGTCGGCTCAGCGAGGCAGCCATGTAAATTTAAATGAAGCGGCGATTATTTAAATCGCTGCTTCATTTTACTATGTCCGGTAGCCTAATCTAGATGACTCTGTCGCCAGAGGCATGTAGTCTAGACGTACCCTGAGAGCCAAGCAACAGTGGAAGGTTCCAGAAGTACTGTGCCTCAAATACCACAATCTCTTCTTGAGTTCCTAGGTGGACAGAGGTAAAGCACTGTTTGCATCAGTCATAGGTCATAACCTTGCAGCCTTCCTTGCCATTTCAGGCTGAGGGGTTCATGAACTCCCCCAAGGCACACTGTCTAGTAGGAAAGCAAAAGATGGAGAATTAGATACTGGAGTAGAACCAAAAGTGATTCACACGTTCCATGGCTTTTGGGCAAAACTGAAATTTGACACACAGTTTTTGTTGAATTTTAAAATAAGAAAAATTAACAAAAATGGAGGGGGGATTTTGTCAAAAATTTACATGGAATGCGAGAGTAGAAATAATTTTCTGATGAGCTCTAGTGAAAACCACTGCAAACAGCAATTTTTCCTAAAGCCTCACAGGAATTTAGAGTATAAAGAGAAGATGCTGCAAAGACAAAGCACCCCTTTTCAGCTTCTGCCTGTGTCTCTTAATTATTCACTTTCATCGGCGGAGTAGTATTTTTTCATAAAAAAACATACTGTTCATGAATTCAATTTGGTTTTGAAACAAAACATTTTAGTGTCTTTAGTGGGTCCCCAGCAGTGAAGTAGTGCGACTGTGCTGGCAGTGTGGCATCAATGATAACTGGATGCGAAAAGTCTATCAGCATGACTTTCATACGGAAATATTACCTGGTCATATTGCAGTGCCTTGTGGGACAAACTAGCATATTGAAGGCTCAAGCGATTCTTCTCTTGCACAGCATCCTTCAGTTCATTTTCCTAGAACAGAAGAAAGGGTGTTGTAGGTCACTCAGGTCCATTTCAGTCTACATTCTTTTACATTGCATGTATCTTAAATAATCAATGGGTGCACTTCATTGGATATTAACACATCTGTATGTGTGCAGTCAGGCAGAAAGCTCAAGGTCCTGAAGGTGCAAACCTGCTGGGCTATTTTGTACCATAAATGACTGTTACCATGTTTTCTGATAGGGATTTAGAGCTGATAAAGTGAGCGGCTATGATTAAAGACTTATAAGTGAAGGGACATGACTTGACTCCACAGAGCAGACAATTCCAATACACAATTCCTCATAGAGTTAATGAAGATCCCTAGACTTGAAGATGGCATGATTCTTGCCCTATCTTTTCCTGAAGAACCAAAAGGGAAGAGAAACCAGCAGAACCATCAACATCAGGTGCTCATAATCCCCCCAGCCACAACAGAGCCAACAGCTGCTGAGGAACAATTTTCTGGGATCCACATACACCACCTGGATACCACAGCATTTCAGAAGTTGGTACAAAAAGGTAATATAGATCCAGGCGTCAAGGTGTCATCTAAAGCTGTAGCTACGTATACCATCAGGAAACTTGGCAGCAATGGGTGTCACTAAGCCCCCCATGCTTTATGAAAATGTGCTTATGGTTCTGAATATTTTAAGAGGAATAAGGGATCTTTCGGAAAATGCTTTATTTTCCGAAAGATCCGCGTCTAGACTGGCTCTGTTCTCCGGCAAAGCTCTGAGCTGGAAAAAAGCGGCAGCCATGTTTATGCAAATGAAGCAGGGGGGATTTAAATCCCCACTTCATTTGCAATTGCGATGTGTCTAATTTGCATCGCTTTTACAGAAAAGGGATGCAGTCTAGAGACAGCCTGGCTGTTTTTAGAGAACTATCCACAATGACTGTAAGAGTTCTCTCGTGAGTAGTTGTAGTTAATTAGTCCCCATCATATTGTATGTATAGTTGAGATTATTTTTTCCAACGTGCATTTTTTTACATTTATCATCATTAAATTTCATTTGCCATTTTGTTGCCCAATCACTTAGTTTGGTGAATGTTGAGTTTCTTTTTGAAGTTCTTCACAATCTACTTTCGTCTTAACGATCATGAACAGCTTAATATCATCTACAAATGTTGCCACCTCACCGTTCACCCCTTTCTTTAGATCAGTGTTTCTCAGACTGTGCTCCACGGAGCCCCAGAGCTCCACGAGACATCTCCAGTGGCTCCATGAGGTTGACAAACTGGAAACATTGATAGGTACAACACGTACAATCAGTGGATTGCTGGGCCTCCACATACATTTTTATGCACGTAAAGTGCTCCGGAGCCCAAAAAGTTTGAGAACTGCTGCTTTAGATCATTTATAAATAAGCTGAACAGGACAGATGCTTGGAGGACCCCACTAGTTACCTCTCTCCATTCTGAAAACTTATCATTTATTCCTACCCTTTGTTTCCAGTTTTTTAACCAGATATCAAACCATGAAAGGACCTTCCCTCTTATCCCATGACAATTTATTTTACTTAAGAGCCTTTGATGAGGGATCTTGTCAAAGGCTTTCTGGAAATCTAAGTATATTATATCCACTGGATCCCCTTTGTCCACATATTTGTTGACTGCCTCAAAGAACTCTAGTAGATTAGTAAGACACGATTTCCCTCTACAGAAATTATGTTGACTTTCCCCCAACAAATTATGTTCATCTATGTGTCTGAGAATTTTATTCTTTACTATAGTTTCAACTAATTTGCCCGGTACTGACGTTAGACTTACCAATCTATTATTGCCAGGATCACCTCTAAAGTCCTTTTTAACTAATGATACTTTATGAATTTAATGGCTTAATACTCAAATCAATGGCTTTATTTTTCCTATAAACCCAAACTAGTCCTAGAAAGACATGTGACCATGTCATCTGGTACTGGAAACCATCTTGAATCTGGTACTTTTCCATGGGAATGGAGGAGACTGAAAAAAGGGTTCCTGCCTTGGGGAAAAGTCTACTTTAAGAATGGAAAGCAATCAAGTCTTCCCACCCACCTTAAGAGAATAGACATGAAGAAACCCTTAAAAAAAAAGGACTCTAAAAAACTCAGAAAAGCTGTAGACCCAGGCTAAAGTAAAAATAAACTCTGACTTTAAGTAGGGATGTGAAAGACTAGTTGCTTCCAGCTCCAGCCCCCAGGTGAGAAAAGAGGGCTTACTTGAAAGTGGCAGTGCCGCATGGAGCCAGGGGTCAGCTTCTTTGTGTGGCGCTGATGCTTTGAATGCCGTGGGAGCCCGGCATTAGACTTCTTGCAGCAATTCAAAGTGAAGTGCCACATGGAGCCTGGCATCAGCTGGGGAGTCCCCAGCCTCCTTGGGCGGTTGCTACACTTCAAAGGTGAAAGCACCCTATCAACTAATCAAATAATTGATGCAAAAATGCATTGACTATACAATTAGTCAATTACCCAGTATTTAACGTCCTTAACTTGAAACATTTTACTTAAGATAAGAACAACTGTATATGGTAAGAATTTGTATGTAATAAATTTCTTAGTATATTAGAATTAGCTGGCATCTTTTATTTCTTTTTGGCTTAGTAATTTACTTGGATCTGTTTTCACTTGCAATCACTTAAATCCTACTGTTTACATCCTTAATAAAAACAGTTTTGTTTATTTTCAAGCCCAGTGTAAATAATTGTTACCTAGGGGAGAACAATCTCTGTGAATATATCTGCTTCATTAAGAATATGTCTCTGAAACTCCGGTGATCTTTTTGGGAGACAGCGCCTTTCTCACTGTGCTTAGATATCAGATAAAGCAGCAATAGAACTGCTCAAAACTTTTTACACACAATATATTATCTTGTGAAAAATATTTTTAAAATGCAAACTTGTGAAAAAATAATCATTTCTATTTTTTACAATTTTTTCCACAATAATTTTAATAAAAAAATTGAGATTTCAATCATTTTTTAAATCATGCTTTTAAAAATATTTATTTATTTGCCAGGAAACAGATTTTCAATACGATGTGCTTTTCAGTAAACAAAAAATTTCCACATGATCAATTTTTCCCCAAGATATTTCAACCAAAAATTTTCTTTAAATAAAATCATTATGCACATTTTGTTCATCAAAAGTCTGTTTGAGTAAGAGAAAGTGGTGTTCAGTAAACAAAAAATGTTGATAAAATTTAGTTTAAAAATGCCACTTAAAATAATCACAAAATACTTCACAAAAATTGAAGTTAAGTCCATTTTGAATTCCATTAAATGGAAACAACTCTGGAATTTAAAGGTTTTATTTGCAACTCTCCCTCTCCACCTCCACCCCTTTCCACTTTTACTATTAGCTCCAAGTTGCATGCTGAAGGAAGGCAGGGTCTAAAAGATTAATTGGCTTCCATACTATATGAAAAAATACTCTATTGAGCTTCCTTGTGCATAGTTGCCACTTAAAAACATAAGAAACCTCAAATACAAGGCTGAATTTGAAAGGGTCTGAAATTCAAAATAAATTAGCATAGCATTTTTTTTTACATATTAAAATACCACCCTAATGTTGCCATACCCACCACAACTGTAAAATGTCTTTCCCTGATTTTTCTGAAGCTCTCCTCTAGCTGCTAATAAACTGCTACAATGTTAAGCACAGCCTGCCAATAAGGTCGGGAAAGAAGTAAAGGGGGCAACTGTCCTGGGGTGTGGCAACTCAGAGGG